ACCCTCTTCAAAATAAGGAAGCTGGGGTTTTAGAAGTCGTATTTCATGTACTTAGAGGGTAAAGTTACAGTGCCGAGGACACAGTGCTCGCTAGGGCAGAGATTTCAACACTGTCAGCTTCCTGGGAGATTGCCGCAGACCTTGTCCTCTTGTTTTGATTTTTTGTTTACAGTTGATTGTTAGAAGAAGATAAAACGCTGAGAAATGTAACACCCTGTCCAGCAATGTTTATCATTAGACTTCAAATACATATGGTTGATTGAAATGGGGAAGAAGATCCTGAGGCCTTTCTAGAGATGATTTGGAATTGCCCCCTATGCTGCCAGGGCAGCTCGCAGTAATTATGTTTTGCTCTCAGGCAAGGAAAAGCCTGAAGGACAATGGCTTCAGCAAACCAAAGGAACATGAGAAGAGAAGGCTAATTCTGCCACCGTCCGTGTGACTTGGCACGCTGTGAGCGAAATGGACGGGATGCAGTTCGAAAGCAAAGAAATCGGGCTGAACCACTTCACCCCTCTGGCTAGATGACTCAAATACAGTAAGTCTTGCTAAGGGACAGGACACTTAAGTAGATGAACGCCAGGGCGTGCGTTAAACACAACCTTCCCGATTTAGTGGGGAGAAACCCCAGCCACGATGCCCACACTGTATAAGTGCCTCCCACAGTCTTTGTCCCTGGAGCTCTCACAAATCTGTGACAATATTCAGAAGTGGTTTTCAAATCTCCGGGTCTCTGATGACTCCCATTCACACCAGCCTAGCATTCCTCCCTTCTCCAAAGTTCTGTGATGTCCTTGTGCACCGTCTCCCCCAGCAGACGGACTCACCCCTCTAGTGTTTTCACGGAGCTCATGGCCAGTTCATTCTTGCTCTGAACAACAGGAGTCTAAGCCAAGTCAGTTCTTTATCGTTTTCAGAATGGGGAGTGCAAAAACACCAATTCCATGTTAAAACTGGTCTTAAAACCCCTAACACAAATTTATTACTATAAACGTAGAATCAGTCTGTTACTAATGGAAAGCATGTCCATTTCTTTACCTGAGTATCAAAGACAGGTCAGCTTGCCTCCTTCAAAAAGGTGGTATTTAAAGCCTCAAAGGATTACTCCAATGTTCCCTACATTATAATTTACTCCACTGGTACTGAAGGAGATAAATTAAGTGCTAAGAAAATGACAGCACTTAGTGAAGAGATTCAAATGAATCTGAACTCCTGGGTTAGCCCATCTTTAGACTTAACAAACTTTTGTTGTTTAAACAGGTTCTCACTCTGTTGCCCAGGTTGGAGTACAGTGGTACGATCACAGCTCACTGCAGCCTCGACCTCCCAGGTTCAAGTGATCCTCTCATCTCAGCCTCCCAAGTAGCTGGGACTACAGGCATGCACCACCATACTTGGCTAATTCTTGTATTTTTTGTAGAGACAGAGTCTCACTACGTTGCCCAGGCTGGACTCAAACTCCTGGGCTCCAGCAATCCACCCACCTCGGCCTCCCAAAGTGTTAGGATTAACCTCATGAACCACCGCGCTTGGCCCAAACTTCTGTAAACAAAAAAAGATGTTGCTATATGATAAAATTTATTTTTGGATGAAGATAACTTCTAAGGTTAGAAAGGTAGCTCCCTATCAGGCACTCGGTACACATTCACTGGCTGAAGGTGAGGAGTGAGCGCTCTCTTTAGGGGCGGTTTGTAAAGAGGCCTCCTCCCAGACCTGAGTCAGTGGGAGGGATCCAACCACCGGCTGTGCTCACCTGTCCTCGAAGCACACCGTGCACTTCCAGGCATGGGTCCCCCTCAGGAACACTCGGCAATGGGCGCACACGCGGTGGCTGCAGCCCCGGCACACGGCGCCCCGGTGCAGCAGGAGCCCCAGCACCCTCTGGCAGCGCGCACAGCACTTCTCTTTGTACTCCTGGTCCGTGCTCTTCGCTCCTTTCCACCGGAGATGCTGCAGGTGCGTTTTCAGTTTCCTGCAACCCACAAAGTTAAAGAAGATACTATTGGATGGAACACCCAACCCCAGGCTACAGGGCAAGAGCCCAGAGGGTATCCCCCATGGCAAGGGAAGGGGCTTTGGCATTTGACATCCCTGGGCTCCCACATGGCTGTGCGAACTGGGCTCCCACTCAATGTCTCAGAGTCGAGGCTCAAGGGTTTCCTCAACCGTGAAACAGGCGAGGTAAGGTACGACCTTACCTCTACTCCCAGGGTTGCTGTGAGGACTAAATGGCAAAGTATAAATAACATGCCTGGTGCAGAGAAACTCCCCGCTAGATCCATCCCTTCCTGCCCAAAGGCTGTTAAGATAGTAAGCAAGAATAGTGAAACGAGAGGAAAAGACACCGAAAACAGCATCCATTCCAATCTGCAAGGCATGGAACGATCCAGAAATACACAGCATACATCCCTGCTATTGGTATAAGTTACCCAATAAAATCAACTGATGCTATGCTTTTGCTACGTTTTTGTTGTTGTTGTTGTTGTTTTAATGAGTGGTCAGCTCACTCCCCTAGACAAATAGCCATAGTGCAAAGAGACATTGTATTGGACCAAAAAGGCGTCATTTACCAGCATACTCTTTTATGAATGTCTGTGATACCTACTTGTAGAAGAGATGAGCCAATCCCAAGAAACAAGATGACATCAGAAATGCACTTTAAAATGCGACTTTCAGGATCTACCCTAGAATTAGTACCCTTTGAGATACAACTTCGTTACCACTATGTCTATGTCACCTTGTTAATATTCAAAATGATGTCTCTAAATCACTGAAAGATCTTTCATCATCAAATAAAATTTCACTTTTCTCACTGTATTGTAGTTTTTTATTTTCTTTTTCTTTCTTTCTTTCTTTCTTTTTTTTTTTTTTTTTGAGACAGAAATCTCGCTCTGTCACCCAGGCTGGAGTGCAGTGACGCGATCTCGACTCACTGCAAGCTCCACCTCCCGCGTTCAAGGGATTCTCCTGTCTCAGCCTCCCGAGTACCTGGGATTACAGGCACCTGCCACCATGCCCAGCTAATTTTTGCATTTTTAGGAGAGACAGGGTTTCACTATGTTGGCCAGGCTGGTCTCGAATTCTTGACCTCAGGTGATCTGCCTGCCTCAGCCTCCCAAAGTGCTGGGATGACAGGTGTGAGCCACCATGCCCAGCCTGTATTATAGTTTTTAGCGGAAGAAAGTTTACAAGTACACTTAGAGAGCTCTGAAGTAACAGAGAGGATGAAGCAAGAATACTATACCAGAAAATTCCCCTCACTCCTCAAGCATTTGGTTGTCCAAAGTTTTGTTTTCTAATGTGTTCTGCCATTAGAAACCAAACCCTCACTTCCTCCATAGACGCTGATAAAAAGCGCCAACCTGTTTAAAGATGGATCTTGACAGCTAAGGCTGAACACGGCTCTGATAGAGTTCAGCACACTTTTCTAAATGTTAACCCATATCAAACGGCCCAGGCAGCTTAGAGACAGACAGGGAAGAAGTTCCCTGTTGGCAAACCGGTCAGGAAACAGGTTAAGCAGGTTCATATTTTACGCTCTCCCCGCTTTCCTCAAAGCCAGCTGGGAAGCAAAAGCAAGCAAAGAAAAAAGACAATGCTGG